TGAAATACGTGACACTACTTTTTCCAGCACCTAGAACTTCAAGGTGGCAAATTACAAGTTTAAATATCACCACCCCGCAACAATCGTGAGTTTCTAATAGTTCTAGGCAGGACTGCTATAGAAACTCGCGATTCACTAGAGACGCTGATTTTTAGGCTTGCAACTTCCCAAATATCCTGTACCGGAATTCCGAAGTTCTAGGGTGGAAAAAGAGTTACGGAGGTGTAAAATACTCTGATGAAAGTAGTTCTAATTGATTGAATAATTGATCTAAAAACTCACGATTCCTACAAAGCAGTGATTGTTTGGGCTTGTACCTCACCATATATCTCGTTGTTGGTCGAAAAATTGCCAGCACTCCGAAGGATAAAAAAGAGTTTCTGTGGTATAAGAATACTCAATTGAAGTTACTTCTGTAGAAATTCGCTATTCATAAAAAGTAATCATTTTCAGGTTTATAACTAGTTAAATATCCCATTTTTGGTAGAAAAATAGCCAAAACCCTCAGTTTTAGGATGGAATGAATTCCGGAAGTGTGAAATACTCATTTGGGCATAGTGTTGGTCAAAGCTGTTGTAAAAATTCGCGTTGTTTTGTAAGTTTATGGCTGACTTAACATCTTGTTTTGACCAGGGGTATGGGGTGCAAATATAATTTTTGACTAGAAAAATACACAACCTGGCTTAATTCTGCTTAGAACTAGGTACCTACTGCAAGTACTCGTGCGCTAATATCTATCCAAGCTACGAAATTTTACGTCAATCTTTAGTGACCCTAATTTTCAATTCATTTCTAAACATTCGAATTCTCGAGAAAATGCAAATGGACTTTTCGATACAGTTCTTTATGGACTATCCAGAAAATTGAAAAGAGAAAAATTCTGAGTAATTTGTTTTTGCAAAGCTTTGTAAGAACTGTCAAGAACTGTAATGTTCCTTGTTGCTTATCCTTCTTAGGATTCGGATTTAAAAGGGTGCAGCATGAATTTATCACGCCTAAATTTCATTTTTTATATCTTATTTAAACTTAAAACTTATCAGCGCACCCCTTCGAGAATTATAGAACTATCTCTAGGGAGTACAGAACTCATATGAAAATTCAAAGTTTATAAATTAGGGGTGCCAATTTTCTATCGGTAGAATTGACACTATACGGCACGTTCATTGATACTTTGATAAAACCGTAACTGGACCATCGCTTGACCGATAGTATGAATCGGCCTTAATCAGTTGCCAACTTTACGAACGAAACTGATATTTGTGTTTGTTGTTATTTCGTTTAGACGATTTCGTATTTTTAAAATTTCAACTTTAATAAATACGTCAAAAGAACTATTGCTTATTGTTTATTGTCATAGTGGCGATCAATTAATTAAACAAATTGTTTGTTTTTTGTTGTTGTTTGTTTTAAAATTAACAGTCTAATTGAAAAGAACTATTCTTTGGCGAACAAATGCTACAGTACGAATAGTGAAGTTATTTCCGTGAAAATATAAAAAAAAGTTACATGAGGATATATTAATATTAAGTATTAAAAAAGTGTATTTCGAGGGGATTTGTCAACAGTGACTTGGTATGACGTCATTCACCTTAAGGACATGTTGATCACTCTTTGCATTACTTCTTTTCAAGAGAAAGCCATTTATCTCACAAACTTATACAAAAATGAAAAGCCATCTGTCACCTTTTAATTCGCGTCTCTGGCCGAAATAATCACCGTCACTTAGAGCTTTTACGTTTAAATTTATCAGATCCTAGAAACTTTAAAAAAAAAAAAACTCCAAACTCCCAAATCAACTCTGCCTCCTTTTTTATATTGAAAGACCATTCGATTTTCGTTTGGAATATTAAGACTACTAAGTTGATCCGTGCTATAAATGATGATATCATTTGTTGAAGGCTAGTATATTTTGTAATCTTTTAAAATGTGCAGTTAAGTTTCCAAGTGTAATAAAACTCATTTTGATGCAGAAGAATCGTAAAAATAAAAACTTTGCATTTTAGAACAATCATAAACTTAGTTTGAAGATAAAACTTGATGATGCATGTTTTAAAAATAATTTAACCCAAATTACAACTGAACCGTTTAATTTGTAACTACTTATTACTTTTATTTATTTCCAAGTAAAACTTTTAAAACTGGAAAGAAATTAAATTCTTCAGACTTCTGCCTACACGAATATTGGTATGTTCTTTGAATCCCAAATACTTGAACTATTCGACTAATAGATAGACGGTTACCCCAGAGGATTCTTGGACAAGTGACCTCGCAACTAACTACTTAATTAATTAACCCCAAAACTTGTGTTTAATTAATAAATATAACTAGTTTGTTCAATCAATGATTAACATGAAATGGAGAGAAATTCTCTTTAACTTTGCAGTTTGTACTTCTAACGTAAACTGGCCCATTCGTGGCATCTCTGACTGTGGTGTTTGCATTCGACTGTCGACATAGCGACCAGTGTTAATTAAATATTATTTTAACTTTTATCGTCCCTTTAAAGTGTCTCTTTTACACAATCGTATAAAAAGTTTGAAAAACAGTACAGAACTTTTTAATTCACTTGTTAGTGACAAGTAGTTTTTATTTTTATAGCTTGTTCAATTGAAAAAGTTCCAAATATGATTAATAAATTAACCATATCTAAACTATCTTGATGGTAACTCATACTTCAGGTTATAATTAAAACTTAGTAATTCCACAAAATTATATGAAAAGCACTTAACAATTGTTTTACGCCTTACTATTGCATCAAACTTCTTATGAATCCTTATTAAGGTGAAACAATTTTTAAGTGATATTTTCAAACAGACTTTTCTATTTCCTATATATACATGATACTCGCGATATATTAATTAAAAATATTTTGCAAAATTGTAACAATAATTGCACAAGAATCATAGAACAGCACATGGGCGTACCCAGCTTCTCTCCTAGGGGGGCAAGTCAGATTTTTTTAGGTCAGATCGTCCGCGGCACACTACACAAAGGCACCTACATGAAACATTAGGTATATGAAGGGCAAACAGCCGCAAATGATCCTGCTTTATAGGTAGTTAAGTATGTTTGGGAGGTATGTCAAAATGCTACGAAACAAATAAAAATTTGGAAAAACGTTCCTCATTCAATTCTAAAACTCATGTAAAAATTACAAATCGATTCACTAAACCGTTAAAAAGTTATTGAAATTTTAAAAAATTGTAATTTTACACGTCATTTTATGGAGATTCGTTAACCCAACAGATTAAATTTATTTTTATTAACAGAAAAAAGCTACCAGAAATTTCAATGTTTTATAATAAGCAACTTGAACTCTGGAGAATCACTTTAGTGTAAGGTTATTCGAATTCACTAAATGGTTATCGAGGAAAAAATGAAAAATTAGCTGAAAATCTCGTTTTTACTTGATAATATAATGATAATATTTATAATTGTCTGAAATAAGTGCAATTTTAAAGTTTTAATTATTATTTAAACATATTAAAAAGTTTTACGCTCATTATTAATACAGATTGAAACTAAATATTTTTTTGATTCGAAGTTGAAATTAAGGCATATTCACTGCCAAGTCAGTTAAAAATCTTCCGTATTCGTTATTTCATATTTTATTCAAAGTTTTTGGTGAAATTTCAAATTTGATTTTCTCTCAAACTTTTTTTTAGTATAGATAGTATTTATTTACATCATGATAAGCTGCAAAACCTAATTAATCACGAATTTCTGATTTTGTGTACTCTTGTCTCCGATTGTACCTCCCAAACATCCTTAAATAAATAAAAGTAAATTTGACTATGCATTTTTATTTTATTTTAATTGTTTAATTCGCCTTCTATTTTATTCAAAAGTGAGCATATAAGGCCCCGTTTACACTTTGGTTAGTGATTAGGCGAGTTCATACATTTTCTGCGAGATTTCCAGGCAGCTGACCTTCCCTGCCTCCCCCTGGATACGCCCATGAAACAGCAGTTACTTAATCATTGAGTATTGTACAGTATTTTAATCTGAAATCCGGAAATAAGTCAGAAAAAATAACTTGTATACTTGCTATAAAAATTTTAATGATTTACCAAACGTTGACAGTATTTTAGTAATTAGTAAATGAATAATTTAAATATTAATGTGAAAATTAATTTTTCAATTTTTTTACCCACTGCAAATTACCTCAGATTAATAGGGAAAATTTGTCTTAGTGGTCAGAACATTGGTGCGTAAAACCAAAGGCCCCGGGTTCGAATCCCGGCGAGGGTATGACAACAGCAACAAATTTTCCCTCATTAACCTGAAGTAGTTTGTAGTTGGTAAAAGATTGAAAAATGAATTTTTACATTAATATTTGATATTAATCACTATTGAATGTCAAGGTGTATAGAATAATTTAAAATGAATCGTGTTGTCTTCATTTTTGTTCTTTTATGATTGAATTGAATTGAACTGATATAATCGAAGTGTAGTACAGTTAGATTGAAAATTGTTTTTCTTCATGTTTTGATGGTTACGGGAGAGGTTACAGCAAAAAAGGTGTTTTCTAAAATAGACCAAACCCTGCTGGTGACTAATTAATAATTAACATCGCTTCAGCGATCGCAACCACATTGTTCTAGTTAATTTAGGCCTATTCTGAACGTTTTGAAATTGTTACGCATGTCTCTAATTTCTACGTTTAATCAAGCACATTGATTCCCGAAAATAACTCTTCGTCAGAAGTTTATTCAATATGGTTTTAAAACAGTTGTTACTAATTTTGTACGGCGTATCTTTTTTTCTATATTTAGTTTGTTTAGTTATTACGTTCTTTTTTTTGCAATCCTTATTTTTATTTATTTGAAATTGAAATACATACATTTATTGGCGTAATCGTTTGTTTTACAATTAGACAACGCAAATCTTACACACTAAGATTTATGTACATATATTTTACCCGTGGAACGCTTTCAATTTTTAATTGTGTTCTGATTTTATCAGTAAAATATTAATGGCTTTATATTTTATTGTTACAGGTGTCAAAAGTAAAAGTTCAAGAATGCAGCGTGTACAAAACGTGCTGGGAGTGTTTGGGTGCAAAAGATCCTTACTGCGGTTGGTGTTCGTTAGAAAACAAGTGAGTTAATTTTTAGCTTCTATTTTTTATTTTGGTTAAAAAATTTTGCCAGGTATTGATTGATTGATACCTATTGTATGTAGTTTGCCAATGTGAGCATATGTATGTATAAATTTCTTCGAAATTTCCGGTACTTTTTTCGATATTTATTATAAAAAAAGGGGATGAAATTTATGTAATACGAAAGCAGATTGTATCAAAAAAAAAGAAGGAGCAAGACAAAACTAACAAATCTTTTGACTATATTGTTTATGGTTTCGTCTGCATCTTATTATTTTTTAAATTACGTACATTCTAAATTATTTTTGATAGCATTCTGTCGTGTCCTTAATATTATTTCTAAATCCTATCGGTCGTCCATACTATGTATATTACATACCCAACGCAATTTTCGGATATTGTCCTGCAAGGTTTAGGTTTTTTTATTCCGTTTATAGCTTAATTCCGTGAAATTGGATGTAAGTCTCATTTTATCTTCTTACCTTCCTCAAATTTATAGAATACGTCCCTATGGTACCACATTCTCCTGCGGCGTCTTTTGTCTTTCTTTCCCTTTGATTATTCCTATTTCATTCGAGTTTAACTCAAGTTTCTTTTATTGATTTCCTTTGATATTGATACCCGGAATATGCAGCCATTGAGGAATAAAATAGCGTACAGGTATTTCGAAATTTATGTCCTAAATGCACATTAATAAAGAAACCATAATATTTAAGTAAAAATTTTATCAGTTAGTTTTGAAAATGGGTTTTTTATTTATCGTACCCTTTACTAATAAAATGGTAAAACTACATTGTTTCAATCCTAAAGTGTATTATTTATTTTTGTGTTTACAGTTTTAAGATGGTTGCAATTGTTAACACAAATTGAAATAAATTTTCACAGGCTATGGGTCATGGGGTGTGTATGATAGCACAGATGCTAACGGTATCCAATTTCTTAATATTATTGGTTGTTTTGTGCGGTAAAATACAATTGAAGTGGTAGTAGTGGTGTAAAATTGAGAAATAGAGAAGATTTTCGTATGAAATTTGTTTCAGTGGTAACATTACCCTTTATGAAACTCTTAACTTGTTGCAATATGCTTGTTTTGTAACTGGCCCTCTGAGTTCTACTATTTTACGAGACCGTAAATTTTCTATTTTATGGAACATCAAAAATACGGGGATTCGAGGATTTTACGGGCTGCCCAAAGGGCTTTACTTATCCCGCATTGTATTGTAAGTATTTTCAAGTCCATCGGAAGAAAATATAACACCAAAATTAAAGTGACCAATAAAAATAAGTTCATTCGTCAGTAAATACATGCATACAAATAAAAAACTTTCTCGTTTTGATGATGTATTTGCACCTACGCTTTTGTATTATGTCCCTGAACGGTCCCTAAATAATCGACTGTGATCAATGTTCAGTTTGAGACAGAAGCAGTGTTAAAATGGTCCCGTAGTCATATTTGAAGAATACACAAAAAACATTATTTGTACATTTCAAAATATAAAGCATACAAAAGTACGCATCTCAAGTTAATGGCTATGCACCCATGGCAAAATTTGCAGGCAAAAATATAGACCATCCGATAATTAGCCGCAAACTAGCCATAAGTTAGCCGTGAAAGTCAGAAAATCAGTATGCATGCTAACTTCAGTCAAAGAAAAGTTGTAAAATCGGTTACAGACAGCTAGAAACGGTCTCACAAATATACGATGTAGACCGCTAGTAAGGGGGTTGAATTTTTTTTCTAGAATAGGGTCATTTTTTAATCTTGAGGGCTCGACAATCGCTAATTCGTGTGAGATTGCCACTCTCTATCGGGCTTGAAGCTTGCTATGAATATTTCGCAAATTAGCTCTGAAAGTCAAAAATTAGCCCTTAATTAACCTACTACTATAATCTCATTCGAAACAGTGGTTGTCGGGCCTTCAAGATCGAAAAATGAGGCACTATATTGAAAAAAACAAATTACAATCTACATCGTTAGCAGTTAATTAGCGGCTAATTATTTGTGAGACCGGTTTGAGCTGTATAGAATTTTCCTAACCGATTTTACAATGTTAACTTCAAATGAAATGATTTTCGGGTTTTCCCGGGTCACGGCTAATTTATAGTTAGTTTGCGGCTAATTACCCGATGGTCAATATTTTTGCCTGTTAATTTTGCCATGTTAACTTCAAAAGGGTTGACGATGCTCCTTCACTTGTGTCGGATGCAATACGGAATACGGTACTGCCAACGGATCATACATCAAATACCCGACCGGCCGCCGGTACCGTGTGAAAAATAGTTCCGGTCGGTGAAAAATAGCCCATAGAAATATCAAGTAGACATTTTTTCATTCCGAAGTACGGGACTAAAATACAATCAACGTATACGTAAGCTAAAAGTGGTTGTTTTTTAAAGTGCATGTATTTCAGGTATTTTCGAAAGGAATTAATAAAGAGCGAGATACTTGTTTTAATTAAGTTGGGGTGAACGGATATTGTGCGATATTGTACATAGAATAACTCAGAACAATGTAAAATATTTGATGTGTCCAATACCTGGGTAAACGCCGTTGCTTTATAGGAACGCTTCGTAGAATAATACGCAATAACGTAAAGGACGTCTTCAAAAGAATTGCACATTATATTAAAAAATTCTTCAAATACCTTCCTCTGCGAATTGCAAAGGAAAAGTATTGCATTTTATTGCATTTTTAATGTCGGTAATTAATTAGTAACGATGAGAAAACGAAAATATGCAATATCAAATTCTACTTGAGATTGACTTAATCAAAGTGATTTATTACTGCGCTAAATTTAAAATTAGTGATCTTATAATAAGGATTCTATTTTATCTTCAGCAGAATTCCTTATATAGGGAGAGAGGGTCAAAAATGAAGGAAAGTAACCTTTATGGGCGGCCCAAAATTATATAAATAAACGAATTTAATAAAAAAGAAAACTACTTAAATGGTCAGTTGGTTTTAAGAGGGCTGGTTGAACAGTCACCTCCACTATTTCCTATCTTGGGCTCTTTTATTAAACAATATTTTTTTGTTGTAATGTCAATATAGGGTTGTTCGGAAAGTCATTTCGTTTTTTCCCGACAGAGGATTTAATTGTATTCTTTTGCACCCAACTTCACATTTAAGCCGTATAATTTTTATATGCTTTGAGAGCTCATATAGCAAGGCTTGTGTGTGAAAAATTCCAATTAATTCTACGCAGTAGTTTTTGGTTGGTGCCCTTTTAAATATGGGGAGCGATAAGCAGCATTTTCGACATATCTTACTGTTTTACTACAGAAAGGGTAAAAATGCTGTTCAAGCCAGAAAGAAATTGACTGATGTGTATGGAGAAGGTGTGTTGACAGTACGCCAGTGCCAGAACTGGTTCGCTAAATTTCGATCCGGCAATTTTGATGTCGAAGATGCACCACGTTCGGGAAGACCCGTTGAAGCTGATAAAGACGCGATAAAGGCATTAGTTGATGTGAACCGGCGAATAACAACACGTGAGATCATCGGATTGAGGTTAAATTTATCAAATTCAACAGTTTATGACCACTTGAAAGGCCTGGGATTATCCTCGAAGCTCGATGTATGGGTTCCCCATGTTGTCACAGAGAGAAATCTGTGTCGCCGCATTGAAGTCTGCGATTCGCTTCTCAAACGTCACGAAAATGATTCGTTTTTGAAGCGCATCATCACTGGGGACGAAAAATGGGTTGTATACAACAACGTCAAACGCAAGAGGTCATGGAGCAAAAAAGATGAACCGGCTCAAACCATTTCCAAAGCCGATATTCACCAAAAAAAGGTGATGCTGTCTGTTTGGTGGGATTTTAAAGGAATCGTTTTTTTTTTGAGCTTTTACCGGATAACACAACGATTAATTCGGAAGTCTACTGTCATCAGCTGGACAAACTGAATGATGCACTTCAACGGAAAAGGTCAGAACTAATCAACAGGAAAGGTGTAGTGTTTCACCAAGACAACGCGAGACCTCACACAAGTTTGGTCACTCGCCAAAAGCTTTTACAGCTTGAATGGGATACAATGCTACACCCATCATATTCTCCAGACCTGGCACCATCGGATTATTATTTGTTCCGGTCACTCCAAAATTTTTTAGACGGTAAAACCTTCACCTCAAATGAGGAGGTCAAAAACCTCCTCGATCAGTTTTTTGCCAGCAAAGACTAAAAATTTTATGAGCGTGGAATTATGCTACTACCAGAAAGATGGCAAAAGGTGTTGGACCAGAACGGTCAATATATAATTTAATAAAGTATTTGTTTATTATACGAAAACTGTCTTTCATTTCCACAAAAAAAAAACGAACAACCCTATAAATAGAATGTGTAGAAGAATAATGTGAATGTCAATTACCTCAAGTTGTTACTTTAAACAACCAAGACGTCAACCAACAGTGAACCCTCATTAACAAAAATAACTCGGCTCTTTACTATTTAGTCATTCACTTGGTCATAAACTTTCTACTTTTCCTTAGATAATTTTTTCGTTTTTTCCTTATTTTTTATTTTTAATGTGGCCTTTTTGTCTACCCCTAAATGCCTTTGTTTGTTCGCAATAACCGGAAACTGGTTAATCGACCCATCGATCGTTCTCTTTGGGAAGGCAATTGCAAATCTTTCTTAGTTCAGGCGTTATTCAGTTATTGGAATCACGTATGGTGTGTGTATTTATTTTCTTCGTATAACTATTTTAAAATGTCGTGATGGGTGCAAATAACACGTCCTCGCTATTCTCCATGCCCTTTAAATTACTGGAGGTAGTTTAATGATTATCTCCACTGCTTACTTTCACTAACCTAGTAGAAATCTTGAGAACATCGTCTAAGTAATACCGATTATTTTGTACACTGCTTTCCCTTTCAATTTTCTCTAGACTGCCAATTAATCCTAATTCGACGACAACATAAATGGTTTTATCGATAATCGAATTATGTTTAAGTTTATCTCGAATTAATTTATTAAATTCGAACAGTGTCAGTCATTGAATATCGTTAACTAGTGCTCTCCTTTAAGTTTTATAGTTGAATGTTCGAATTTAAATTTATTAACACCTAAAAGGGTAGTCTCTTTCTGACAGTAAAAAAATCTTCCAATTCGAATCTCCGAAGTCCGAAAAGGACATAAACATCGTATTATAAAAGGTTACTGAAAACATATGTTACATATGGCAGACAGATGGATAAACCAATAAAAAAGAAATAGTTATCGTTAGTAAATGGGCGTTTTTATGTTGTAAGCATTTTATATTTTCGCCAACCATTCCTGCTAGAATTATTGCCCTTTATTGTGTCTTCCTTTCTTTTAATTTATTGAATAGATAGTAGTGTGCAGTAAACAATTTCTTCAATGGCCTCATTTGATTATCGTAGGTGAAGATAATGTTTGTATATGTATGTTTCTCGTTACGAAAATTACATAAGGGAACGTACCCATACTATGTGACCCATCAGGTGGGAGGGGTCTTCAAAAAAAAAACACTCTTGAACACAGGGGGCGGCTTAGGTTTTTGTCACGTAGTCAATATCCTCTAGAAAAATCTCGCGCTTTTTGGAACTATATTCAAAATTTTCTGTTTGCAAAAAATAATTTAGAACCATGTCTATGAATTACTAAGTGAAAGCTCTAGAGGAAGGGGGGGCCTTGACGTATACTATGGTTGTTCACCTTAGAGGGAGGGGGGTAACGTATATGGGTACGTTCCGTAATTATGCAACTAAACGCACAATATTCTAAGTGAACATAAAAAGTGCTATACACAATTTTAATAATTGACCGAAAATGGAATAAACTAAAAAATCTACAGTTTGTTTGTGAATACGCACAATTAATTAAATAACGTTATCACTTCATATTTCCTTTTTTATTTTTATAATAGTTTTGTTTTAAGTTGTAGGTTGCTGCATTATGTCAAGTGAACATTTGTGAAATACTTGTGGTGACACTTAACTTTCCTTTGCAATGTTTAATTATCCTTTGAAATCTTAGAAAACCAAATAATTGCCAAAACCGCTATGGTATTGTACAATAACTGCATTAGAATTTGTCTAATAAATATTGACAACTTGCGGTCTAGGCATGTCTCAATTTGTGTTCTAATTAAAACAGACGAATGGGAATTATGTAGGTAATTTAATTTTGAAACGAAGAAAGAAACAAAAGTCTAGTTGTATGAATTGCTGTAGATTTTTCACCCTGCAATTTTCGGAAATAATTAAGGGGTATTGATGATATTGTTTCCGTGTGGTGTAAAATTAAAAGAGAATGTTTAGAAATATGTATAGAATCTGAAATCCGGGTTTAAAGTTCGAGTTGCTATCTGCACCATTCTAATAGGGAATGTACTCTTGACTTACTCCTATTAGGGGGCTTTTAAAAAGAAATGTTTCATTTTCTGTTTCAGATGCAGTTTACGTTCGGATTGTCAGGATGCAGCAGAAGATCCTCTTTATTGGATTAGTTACAAAAGTGGTAGGTGTACTACAATAACAACAGTAACTCCAAATCAACTGCAGAGAACAACAGCAAGGACGGTAAGTCATCCAAACTTAAATTACGACGTCAGAAAGTTTGTTACAGCGATAACTTGTAACCGTGTAGCTTTCCATAGATTTCTCTAACAGGATAGTTAATTTAAAACGTCTCTTTGCCCAATTGTCGATTACCTGAAGCAATTAAAACAAAACTTATACGAATATGGAAATTACTATTCTTGAACATTTATCAACGACAGAAAGCACCATTTGAGATCAAAATACGTTAGTGCAGTCTTGTGCAGCCAAGAATACTATTGCAGAGCATTTGATACTTCATTGACTATTATACAAACATGAATCCAGGAGACTCAATTTGCATTTATAAATTATTTCAGTTCATTCATTTGGTATCACTTATGTTCAAAAACATTGTGCCAGCTTTTCCTTCGTTATAATTATATCGTTTTTAATTTTACGTGCAAATAAAGCACTGCTGTACTTTTTTCTCATTTCAGAATCTCAAAATATTTAAACATGATACATTGTTCTACGTCTACGGGTTTTTGAAATTACTGCTTCTAGCTGTATTCTTTGTTTTCAATTTTCTTTTATAAAAGAACGATCTCAAGGCACATTCCTCCCAAAGAAAACTACACGGCAACTTTCATAATCTCTGCATGAATAGGTCTAACTTTAAATTAATTGTAATTTTCCGTTTTATGAACATAAATATAAAATACCAACTTTAATTAGTGGTGGAAGAATAGTGCATATAAAATTTTAATTAACAAACGTACACAGTAAGACATGATATAAAATTTTAAATCGAAAAAAAAATCAATTATTAATTGGCTTTACAGTTAGACCTTGTTATCGACAACCTTCCAAGTTTGCCAGGGCAGTTTTTGTGTGCATTTACCGCACTTGATAAGACTTTAATAACAAACGCAACGAGAAAAAACTACGGTGTAAATTGTACTACTCCTAGAACCGATCTATTGCCTGCTATTCCTCCTGGGCAACGTAAGTATTTTATTTTAGTTTTTTTTTTAATTTCATAGTCAGTTCATATATATATATAATTTTAAATTATAACTCGCCAATTAGAACTGTAATGAACATTTTCGTTTTTAGACCATTTCACAGCTAAGTTATCGGTCCGCATGACTTCTGGGCCAGACTTTGTAGCCACAAATTTTACATTTTTCGATTGCAACACTTATAGCTCTTGTACTCAATGTGTTTCATCGTCGTTTCCGTGTGATTGGTGTGTAGATGGTCATCGATGTACTCACGATACTGCCGAAAACTGCAGAAACGATATCTTAGTTACTGGAGTTAACGTAAGAATTAAAGCGATTCTCCCGTACATTTAATACATTGTAATGTTATTCCTTTCTGTAGAGAGTGGGTCCAAGTTACCGGTCAGGTCCAACTTTTTGCCCGACCATAAACTCAACAGTTGGCGGTTCACCAGAAATCCTAGTAGCTTCAGGTTTAAAGAAGTCAATACGTGTCAAAGTTCATATAATCGGTCAATTTATAGTTCAGACACGATTCGTGTGCCAATTTAATATCGAGGGCCGTGTCACTAGTGTAAATGCCCAACTGTTAGGCGATACTATTTACTGCGATAGTATGGATTTTATTTACACTTCGAGAGCTCCCAACACAACTGCAACGTTTGCCGTCATATGGGGAGGTTCGAAGCCGCTAGACAATCCTGACAACATTCACGGTATATTTATTTTGCTTCAATCTTCTCTAAAGGCTGTTTAAAACTTTTTCCTTTCGTTTTCAGTTGTGATTTATCGGTGTAACGATATGGCTGATAACTGTGGAATGTGTCTTGCATTAGACGAAAAATATGAATGCGGTTGGTGCCAAAGTTCAGAAAGTTGTGAAGTGAAAGAACAGTGTGGAAGGGGTGCAGTGGTGTGGTTGAATCGCAGCCAAACGTGCCCAAATCCCGAAGTGATCTCTTTTCGTCCTGAGTTAGGGCCTTGGGAAGGTGGCACAAATATCACCATCGAAGGTATTAATTTAGGAAAGACTTTTTTGGACATCTACAAAGGTATAAACATCGCCGGAATTAGCTGCGAGCCTTATAAACATCTTTATGTGGAAACGAAAAGGATTGTTTGCAAAGTACATATTTAAATTAATTATGCATGTTTATTTTATTGCTAATTGCATTTGCTTTTAGGTTGACGGCCCAGGAACAAATGAACTTCGAGCAGGACCGGTAGTAGTAAGGGTGGAGAAATACCGAGGAGAGTCAAAGACGCCTTACCAGTTTGTAAATCCAGTGATAACCGGTATTTCCCCGAAATATGGACCAAAATCTGGAGGCACAAGCCTGAAAATCACCGGCGAATATATGAACGCTGGAAGTAACATACAAGCATTTATTAATAATTTACCATGTGAAATAGTTTCGTAAGTGATACTAATGTTTTGTCATACTAAGTATTTTATTTCTAACTAGATCTTATTTTTTTTTTTTAGGACGGACCAGCATCAAGCTCTCTGCATTACTAGTGCGTCAGAACAACCAATGTCTGGCAAACTTAGAATGATCTTTGATAAAGGCGATAGAGAATATGACAAAGAGCTTTTCCACTATGTCGAAGATCCTATAATAGAATCTGCCGAATCTGGAGTAGCAAGTCAAATAAAAGTTCCTAAAGGCATACCAGCTGGCGGTATAAAAATAACGGTTACTGGTAAAAATTTAGTGTACATTCAAAAACCGGAAATGTACGTTTACTACGACCAGAAAATGTTCTTAAGCGTACGTATCAAATTTCGACCAATAGGAATCAGTTTTAATAAACAATATTCCTTTTTGCAGACTTGCCAAGTTCTTAGCAACACAACCATGATTTGTCCTAGTCCTCAAATTGAAGCAGATAATTCAAAATTAGACGCAGATAATCCGCTAAAACTGGAATACGGGTTCAGAATGGACAATGTTTCTGGTGTTCAAAATCTGACCATGCAAAGCCACTTTCCTCACTTTCTTCTTTATCCCAATCCAATTTTTGATCCTTTTGACAAGGAAGTAAAGTATTACAAATCAGAATATCTTAATATAAACGTAAGTGACTTTTCCTCCGTCCTAAAAATTATATACTAATCGATTTATCATTCGCAGGGGCAAAATATAGATCGGGCTTGTCAGGAATCTGACGTTGAAGTCAGAATTGGCAGTAGTTATTGCAACGTTACCTCCTTATCCCGCCAGCAGTTGACTTGTCGTCCTCCAGAAACCCAGCCTCCACCTTTAGAATCTGATAAACAAGAAAACAGCGAAAATTTACCACTAGTGATAGTCACAGTGGGAGACACATTAAAATTTAATATTGGTCATCTGTCCTACTCCTCTCCGCAGGGCATGAACGGTTCAATTTCAAAACCTATATTGATTGTTGTTACCTTGATATGTATCGTAATAGTGGTCGTGTTTGTGTTTTTCTTGATCGCTTATAGAAGAAAATCTACTGAAAGCAATCGAGTTCTTAAAAACATGCAAGAACAAATGGATATATTGGAGTTAAGGGTTGCCGCCGAATGTAAAGAGGCGTTTGCCGAATTGCAAACAGAAATGACAGATTTAACGGGAGATCTAACGTCTGGTGGCATTCCCTTCTTGGATTACAGAACTTACGCTATGAAAATTCTCTTTCCAAATGTTAACGATCATGCCGTGCTCCAGTGGGATCGTCCCGAACTAATTAGAAGGGAGAAAGGGTTGCGACTTTTTGGCCAACTTATTATGAACAAGACCTTTTTACTCTTGTTCATTCGTACTCTAGAAAGTAACAAGTATTTTTCGATGAGAGACAGGTAATGCAAAGTTTTAAACCTTTTTAATGCGAATCATATAAAACGTATTATTTGTAGAGTAAATGTGGCATCTTTAATCATGGTAACTCTTCAAAGTAAAATGGAGTACTGCACCGATATTCTTAAAACCCTTTTAGCCGAGCTAATAGAAAAGTGTATGGAGGGAAAGAGTCATCCAAAATTGCTTTTGAGACGAACAGAAAGTGTGGCAGAAAAAATGCTCAGTGCTTGGTTTACATTTCTTCTGTACAAATTTCTAAGGGAATGTGCAGGCGACCCTTTGTTTCTCCTTTTTCGGGCTGTAAAACAGCAGGTTGATAAGGGACCTGTCGATGCCATTACCTCAGAAGCTAGATATTCTCTTAGTGAAGAAAAACTCATCAGACAATCGATAGACTATAAGCCAATGGTAAGATAAATAATTTATTTTTTACAGATATTATTACATTATTGTTTCTATTTTGTTTTTAAGACTGTATATGTTTCAATTTCTCAACAAACGGTATTTGTCGGAGGTTTAGATTTAAATACTGACAATGTTCCTGTGAAGGTATTAGATTGTGACACTATTAGTCAGGTGAAAGAAAAGGCTCTGGATACCATTTATAGAGCAACCCCTTATTCACAAAGGCCAAGAAAAGAGGACTTGGACTTAGGTAAAAATTTTTATTTTATTAATAAATATTTTGTACAAATTTTGATGTATATTTTTTATTTTAGAATGGCGTACGGGAACGTCTGGAAGATTGATACTATATGACGAAGATAGTACCACAAAAATAGAAGGAGAATGGAAAAAACGTAACACACTTCAACATTACAGAGTGTCTGATGGGGCTTGTTTGAACCTTGTGTCCAAACAGAGCTCAATCTACAACCTCAGTATATTGTCTGAGAAGAACGACAAATCTCACAAATATGAAACACTAAATATAAGTAAATTTAGCTCTGCCAGTCCCCCTCTTAGCCGAGCCACGAGCCCACTGAATCATGACCATGATCAAAACTTGAAGGTGTGGCATTTGGTAAAGCATCATGATAATGAAAACCAAAAAGAAGGCGAAAGAGGGAACAAAATGGTGTCCGAAATTTATCTTACTAGACTCTTAGCGACCAAGGGCACATTACAGAAATTCGTAGACGATTTATTTGAAACGATCTTTAGTATTGCACATCGAGGATCTGCACTTCCATTAGCTATTAAGTACATGTTTGATTTTCTTGACGACCAAGCTTTGCAGCATGGCATATCGGATCCAGAAGTGGTACATACTTGGAAAAGTAATTCATTACCCCTCAGGTTCTGGGTGAATCTCATTAAAAATCCCAATTTTGTATTCGATATCCATAAATCCAACATTGTAGACTCTTGTCTCTCTGTTGTTGCTCAAACTTTCATGGATTCTTGCTCCACGTCCGATCATAGATTAGGTAAAATGTTAATATCACTTTCGCACTTAGCGTAGTAAAATACGAATTTGATTTCTTAGGCAAGGATTCTCCTAGTTCAAAACTCCTTTATGCTAAAGACATTCCAGCTTATAAAGAATGGGTGGAACGATACTATGCCGACATCAAGATGATGCCTGCTATTTCTGACCAAGATATGAACGCTATGCTTGCCGAAGAATCAAGGGTAAATTATTACTTTTTTTATCCGTTATTAAACTTTTTTAATTATATTAAGATAAATTTTGTTTATACTTAAATAAAACTGCCAGCTTGCAATCCTGCCATTATGTAGAAGTACAAACCGTCCCTTGTGTGTGATGCTTCCCATCCGTTCGTTTTATTAAATATTTTGATAATTTTCCCTGTTCTTTTTTAGCTTCATACGACAGAATTCAATACGAACTGTGCTCTGCAAGAGCTGTACCAATATGCAGGTAAATATAATGAACAATTGATGGTGACATTAGAGGAGGACGAATTTTCTCAAAGACAGCGCCTAGCCTACAAGTTAGAGCAGGTGCATAACATAATGACGGCTGACGGACAGCCGTGATACTGGCCTGACCTGACACGACCTTCTGCACCCCCTTTGTCGCCCACTACGTTGCGGCCGTCAGCGCCTCAGGAATTCGCCTGCTGATTGCCCGCCGACTTTCGCCCCCTTCTATTTCTCTCTGTATCTGTCTGTTTCTATCTCTGTCCCTTACTCTATCTGCATCATACATATCCATATACACCAGACTTCGTTTGTGTCGTCGGATTGCTGTTAGTTGTTAGGTGTTGGAGTCAGTGCGTGAGCGTACCAATGGACCAAGTGCCTCTGGTAGGATCAAACGCATCGGCAACTGCCTCCATCAGTTCAGTGTTCCAAGTAAAAAAAAAATAATAAAGAGTGTGATGGCGCTTTTGCTATGTCAAAAAAAATATTAATGATCCGCATTATGATGGTGTCCGTAATCTTAATCTGTATCACACTAACTGTCAAAAAATTGAAGCTTTTTTGATAATTGTAAAATGGATGTACTCTATGTTCATCACTGTACAGTTTAATATTTTTATATTTAGTTGACGCAATCGTTATGATTGTCTTCCGGAATGGAAGCAGCAGGGTGTAGTGTTTTTGCGACGTTTCAATCATCGATGTTTTTCATCTTGTACATACTGAGCACGGGTCGTGTCAGTGTAGTTTATGTACGTGTATCAAGGCTGTGTACATTTTTTAGTGAACGAATCGTTTTAAGCTGTTAATCCAACGACTGAAGTGTGTTTTCATCATCCAGTTCGTTAAATGTGTTCCTTTGCTCGATGGTTATCGTTTTACAATCAGCGATGCCCAACAGACACGCTAATATTTAAAATAATAATAAAAAAAAAACTAATCCGCTAAGAAATTCGAGGATTCAACTGTTAATTCGGTCGTTTTAACGTATTATTAATCGTCTTTTTATACCAATTGTAACCGTCCGTGGACTATTAACATTATTACCCATTCGTCGTACGAACTAAAACCTATCGTGTCGTATTGTTTTTGTAATAAAAATCCTCTACTTCCTTTGCGGATGTGGTAACGTTAATAAAAATATCCAGTCTACGCTTCCGAGCATTTTAAACGTTTATTAGTATATTTTTGTAATTTTTATGTATATTTTACCTGTACAATTTTATTTATCTTTTATTATTCAATTTTAATCGGCTTCAGGTTGGTAGACTGGAATGCAGTGCTGATGTATATATTCTGTGTGCGTGCACGGTATATTCGTGGTACTGTATGTAATACAAATGCGATTGCAATAATATGATTGGTATTGTGTAACTTATATGTTTATTTTAAAAGACTGAATGGAATTATTTGAAATACCGAAAAAATGTTCATGCGTTTTATTCAGTGCATCCCCGCTTGAAATATCTTATCGCTTAGAACTTTTAGTTCTATGTGATATCTTTCCATGATACCTATTTTATAGTGCTTCAACTGAATTTGTAGAAAAATGCAGAAAACCGGAAATTATGCAACTAAAGGGTACGATATATCATTTATCGATTCCAGAATAAAGATATACTGTTCCCAAGTAGTGGCTTTCGCATTACAAACTGATTATTTTGGTGTTTAAAACCGTAAAGATATTCCGTGACGATAGGACGGAACAACATTTTACAAACCTTTACGCCATAAAAACTCAAAAAACAAGTCAGCATGTGGAGCAAATCTTTAATCATATAACATGACAATACGTTAAAAGAAGAAAGTATGGAAATCGATTGCTAAATTTTATTGAAGTTTAGGGAGAATGAATTTGGTTAATGAAAAGAATTTGCTTATTGTTATTGAATTTATTAAGTAAATATATTTTGTCTAACTAAACACTACGTAACATAATTCAATAATTGCTATACACTTCAGTGAAAAAAGGAAAAAAAAATTTTTTTAAGTCTTCACTGTTACTTGATGCTTTTCCATTTAGTCCATCCTCAGTTAATGACGTATAATACAAATATATATTTTTATTAAATTTTTATCCCTGACAGAAAAGCAGTGATACCACAGATTATTTATAGAAAAAATGGTAAAAGTAGTTTGATAAGTACAAAAGAAAGGTATGTAGCAGCACTGCATGGTTATGTATAAAAGTTGAAGGAAAAAGGACTCTAAAAACAAGAATTGCTATTCGCCCACTCCTACAACTGATAAATTACTAGTAAGTGGAATAGGAGATGATGAACCAACGCCTATTTTTCGGCATTGTTCTTTAACAACGGGATCTGTAAACAAACTACAAATTTTAAAACAGCACTGATTTTAAATAAAAAAAACCTACAGAAATATGGATGTTCCATGGCTTCTCTTGCTGTTAAACGTTCTAAATGATCATAGCGAAGTAATTTGTCTAAGAAGTCTAAAGCTTCAGTTGTTACCAAATGTTGATTTTCACTATGTACAAAACGTTCCCAACGTTTCCGTGAATGCCTGTAATAAAAATTATATACAAATAATTAAAACAGAAGAGCAATCAGAAAATACCTTCCAAGAATATCATTAAACCTTGGATCTAATTCTATATGATATTTATCGAGGTATTCAAAAAGTTCTTCAGTCCCTAAGACTTTTACAATACGAACCAACTGGTCATAATTATCATGTCCATGGAAGAATGGTTCTTTTCTAAAGATCATGGATGCCAACATACAACCCAAAGACCACATATCTAGTGAATAATCATACATTTGATAATCTACTAATAATTCTGGACCTTTGAAATATCTTGATGCTACTCGAACATTATATTCTTGGTCAGGATGATAGAATTCTGCTAAGCCCCAGTCTATAAGACGTAGTTTCCTATTTTCATGATCTATCATCACATTGTGTGGCTTTACATCCCTAAATGATGTTATAATTAACAAAACAAGTTAATATACACTCTGTATATTTTTTTTACCTATGCATAATTCCCATGCTATGGCAATAATCCAGTGCTTTGAGCAATTCATATAGGTAATATCTAATATCAAAGTCAGTAAGAGTCTGGTATAACTGCTTGAAGTCTGTGTTATTTACATGTTCAAATATCAGTGCTGGTGTTCTTGAGACAGGATCTTTTACCACAGCGTACAATGTGATTATATTTGTACCTCCTCGTAAGTTTTCTAGTATTTTAATTTCCCTTTTAATTTTTTTCTTTTTAACTGGCTGAAACAAAATAATTACACTATTTACATATCTGAATTAACAAACACTTTTTAGACATTAAAGAATTTAATAATATTACCTAATTACCTTTAATATTTTTACTACACATTTCTCATTATTAGTAATATTAATTGCTTCAAATACTTCACTATATTTTCCACGGCCTAACTTTCTTACAAGTTGGTAATCATCCTGTTGTCCCCAGTCAACTACATAGCTTTCATAGTCCCAATATTCTCTTGGTTTATGTGAATTAACATCCGCATAAATTCGAGCACGACTTGCAACAGCCATATCTTTATGAGGCACTGGCACCTTTCGTTACACTTTAGTTTTTAAACATATATTTAAAATAGAAACAATTTAGTCACAACCAGGTGTATATTTAGTGGCATGTGTTGCATATTTTCAAGATACTAAAAGAAAAAATATTTCTATAACCCATTATTAAAGTACTACTAAAAGAAGATCATTTTAATTGATTAATCTTTCTATTTACTTTGCAATAGTTTAAAAATCTAAATAAATCAAAATTCAGAATTTTCATACCTGCGTTTCTCATGGTGCTGCTTAAGATTTACTTCCCTTATTGCACAGCATATGTACTTAAAATAATATGAAGCTAAAATATTCTATTATTAAATCAAACCGGCTTTTTTGTAACTATCACGAAACAAAATGGAGTTTTGTACATTCCTTCACAGCTTAAGAAAATTTAGAACTATCTTTTAAGTTACACGTTTTCAGTATTTTGATATATACAGGTATATAACATACCCCTCTAAAACTACATTGAATTAAATCAGAGACGTACTTCGCGAACCATTTTTGCATTACTTTAATTTAAATTATCACTTCTTTTGTTTTTAATATTCTTTTAAATTCACACTTATCTTTTTTAAAATATAATTAACACCATATTTTTTTGTACTGCTATTTTTAATTTTTTTAATACAATTCTGCTATTAAAAACCCATATACATGGTGTTTGTATTAAGATTACAGTTCATACTTCTTATAGCTCAATGGTTTAAGTTGCCTTCATGGCTTCATGAATATTCTCTTGAATGCTACATAATTGCAAATTCAAATTTTGAGTGAGTAATTGTATGATAAGTGAGTAAGATAAAATTATGTTGTATTATTAATTAAGTTTAAATTACTTATCCAATATTTATAAAATATATTATTATATTTTATTCGATACTAATTTTCAATTTCTTATTATTAAAACTTATTAACTGTTATATGACTTTTATACT